ACACACACACACACACACACACACACACACACACAAAATCAAATCATCTTTACTGCCTGAACACAAATTTTTGGTCGTTTTTCATTTACCTCCTCTACCAATGAAAGTTTCTTATAGGAATTTGTAGCTTGTGTTTGAGATAAAACTAGGAAACTAGTTAGATACGATTTAGGTTTGCATCAAATGTCACAGTTAACATAAGTTTGCGCCGCGATTTTTCAAAATGCTCAAAAGGATGTAAATGTTAGGTCTGCAGGTTAGTTTTCATCCTTTAACCAAAAAATTTTGAAATTGAAATTTTGTTTTTGCAGTTAAGTGGAAAATTATGAGTAAGGGGTCGGGTTAAGTTACATTGAACTTCTAGTAAAGGTTTTTGAAATTTGAAGGTAGCTTTTTACTGAAATTCCTCCGGCTCTTACCAAGCTCTTATAAAAAACGTTATATTAGTCCTGAGTGAGTCTAGGTCATGGACCACTTGAAATGAGTTTGCCTTAACAGTTTTCATCGCAGCGTGACGAGCGATAATCTGCCGTGGTCTGCGTTCTTAAAGAGCAACGCTCCTCAAATTGGCTTTCGACTTTTAGAATGACATCACGACTTTTTCCAACGTTTCGAAATTCAAATTTCAACAAGGTATATAAACCAATCTTTTTTTTTTTTTTCAATAAAGTCGGTTTTTGTTTACGTCACTTTTACTAGCTACCACCGAGAATATTCAGTTAAACGTTGTAGGACAATAGCATTCGCGTACTATTCAACAGTTTTCGGCTGCCTGACAACATATTTTTAATTGACAGCAATTCTGGTTTTAATCGATTTGTACCGACATACTTACGGTTCAAAAACAAAAGTATGGAAGTAACGTCGAGGAAATAAAAATCAATACCAAGTTCGTCCTAAAGAAGAAAGTTGCAAGTGTATCTCATACGTCTAAGTACACTTTTCGAACGATTTTTTGAGAGGTTATATAAGGTGGGCCGAAAGAACCTGCTTTACAGAGCGTCACCTAGTTAACAAGAGACAGTAACAGACTAAACTAAGTTCTTAGTGAATGGCAATCATTTTGGTTTTTGAGAGGTTGGTCTTGTGGATGGACAGATAGAAATCAATTTCTTTCTTCAAGGAGGCGGGAACTCGTTGATTGATTGGAGCGTACACTGCATTTCTGCCTTAGTAGTATAATATACATAACATTATTACATAAAAAAAAATTAATGAAAACAAAATGTTTTGAGTGACCGCCAAAACCTTTATAATCGGTTGAGGAACTTTTTTACTTATTGATCGGAGTGGATGGATTTGCAATCTAAACTTAAGTATTTATGGTACGTTGCAAAGGAAAAAAAAAAACGGAATGTAAAGACGCATCTGGTGACGGGCCTTAAAAGGTTGCTATATCCTTTCTTTTCTTTCCTTCGTTCGCTTCTTTGAAACTCGTGTAAGGATATATTGGCCACCCTTTGAGAAAATAGGTCATCATATAGATAGAGATGTGAACGTGGAATAGTTGTTTCGCGGGAGAAAAGGCTTAACATATGTTATATGTACCGTAAAATGGTAAGCACCATGTGTTACATAGGGCCTGGCCGCTTCTAGTCATTGCGTTTAATAATATATTTGCGTTTCTCGTATGTAATTTTTTATATATTTGTCTTCCCCTCCCAGCTGCTTTCTTGTCTTACTTGTCTTACTGTTGTTAAAGTTTGCATTAATTTTGATTAACTTTTTGGCAGAAGTGATAACTACGCTCGATAGTCATTCTATATAAGAAATAATGGAAATTATTTTCCCATTTCTAGCGTAATTTAAGTTTTTTACATTTTCTTTTTTGTTCTCATTTAGTAACCAATGTGAATAATAGGTGTCGTATTATGTGAAGATCGTATCTTATTTTAAAGTTTTAAGAAATCACATCGACCGTGTCATGTCTTTCGTATAATGCTTCCACCCATTTCCATTCACTGAACCAATTTAATTGAAATGTTATCTGGTCTGTTTATCTCTTTTGGCCACAAAACTCCCATTTCTCGTTAATGTCTTTCACATTTGAATGTTTTCCCACATAATTTTTTCTCACACGCCACCTCGTTGCTAACCGAACTAAAACTACTACTGTATCCGACAAGCAAAAAGATTTTAATCCATTTAAAAGTACTTCTTTCTATTTCTATCGTAGATCAAATTGTGTACACATTAACAAAGTATATCACTGAACAATTACGTCAGTAAGCTTAACGCCTGATTGCACACCTTGCTGCGCAGTTTAGTTACTCTGCATGTGTTTATTGCAGTCTGTGTATCAGTATTAAAAATCTGAGACTATGATAGGGTTGGAACAAAATAAAACAAAAAAAAAAAAAAAAAAACGAAAAATAAAAAAACAACCTAATCAACCTTAATCGTCTCAACATGCTTTAGACTTAAGTAAGGAAAAAAACAATAAAAAAAAAAAAGAAAAAAAGGCAGGCATTAAGAGGCATCAAGTCTTATGGACTAATATTAGTTGGCACAATACAAGCATACACGACAGACAGTGGAACTGACAAAATGTAGCTTCAAGTTAAACAAACGTACGACCAACATGTTGTGTCTTAATGTTTTCAGATCACATTTGAACATTTTACGATTTTTTATTTGCTTTTTTTTTTTTTTATTTTTATTTTTATTTTGTGTGTTTACCCACAAACACAAATCCTATCACATATACATGTACAAGGCATGTAAGATTACATACCATGTTTTTTGGCTCTACTTACCAATGGCATTAACACAGAATCCTTGGTTTGTCTCATTGGCAATGAATACCGTCTCATTGGTATCGTATGCATTTGAAGATTTCGTTTGTTGTTGTCTATCGAAGCCAAATTTGTCAGTGATCTGAATTGATTGTACCAAAAGCATATCCTCTTGACTAGGTTTCTTTTTTGTCTCACGACGTATTCTGTGACTGTTGTACTCAGGCTGATTACCCGAAAATGTTGTTGCTGTTAATGTAAAAAAAAAATAAAAAAAAAAAATAAAAAGAAACAAAAAAAAAATCGAATGTTAATAAAAAGAAGAAAAACAAAAAAAACAAAACAAACAACAAATCTTAACTCTATGGTGGCATTATTCTGAAGAAATAAATGAAGCGATAATAGTTAATTGTTATCATTATATGGTGTTTGAAATGTTTGCCACTTACCTGTAACATTAACTGATCTCCGTCTACGTCCGTACGACAAGAGTGACTTGAATTCGCCACTGATATCTTCTTGATCGCATTGCACTGGCTCACAGGTGGGCATGCAGGGAGTAACTAAAGCGCGAAACTGTACGACTTCGGACGAAGGGAATTTAAAGGCATCGAAGTGTGATAAAAGCACTTTACCATTTAATGAACTCTTATAAATTGGACCCATAATGAAATGATCCGTGGGACAGCCATTCGCATCGATTAGCGTGATCTCGGCATTATCGCCGCCATCCATGGCTACCAGTTCACGTACAAAGATCTCATAAGGACTATGTTCATCGAGAATTTCAAATTTCAAAGCCAAGGGATCACCAACTTCAGCCGAACGCATAATATCCGAACCATCTCGCGATGTAATCTTCATTATAATATTAGGGGAATCGACAATAACCTCTTCCGACAAGGCCGGTTCAATGTCTCCTTTAACACCCAAGTCGACCTCATTCGATACCGATTTATTGGTTAAATCATATTGACAGGTAACTGCTAAACCCAAATCTGATGACGTGACTATAGTGTCATGATGTTGAATGACGACATCATTCATATAACGTCCCGATCCTTGTTGCCGGACATTACACTCCAAGTCTTGATAACCCATACGCAATTCAAATTCCAAAGAGTTCTTCACATCGAAAGCGCACGATTTCGGTGATCCCTTAGCATACACTTTACCATCGAACAATTTTGAAGTTCGTATACGTGCCACCATATCACCCGCACCGCATTCAATGGTTACATTATAACATGAAGCCAATTCATAGGTGGCCGCTTCCGGCACTTCTAAGTAAGGATCTTGAACATCGGACAGCGTGGCACGACTATGATGTGACAAACGACAGACCATATCGCCCGTGTCACCAAAATCATACGAATGACATCTGTCAGTAATAAGAAATAGTACATAATTAAAGCATACTTTTAGTTGTTTTTTTTGTCTATTCATACACGTAGCCTAACTAATTGGGGCGCATTAATGATAAATAAAAACAAGACAAGTGACGTTAGTGACGTTAGTGAGGCGATCTTAGTTGAAACATTATTAGCTTAAAAACAAGCGAAAACATAGTCCCACTATTAAATACCCTACACCACTTTGTCTAGCACACTTTTTATTTTTGCAATAGAACACAAAAATTATACTATATGTATATAGAATATTATATTTTATTATATATCATAACATATATAAATATATGTACATATATACAAGTTTCTCTGTTATCGGGACTTATGGTACTGGACATTACAAATTAGGCCTCTTTGCAAATAAAGGATTGTTTTCCGTGAAAATGGCTGTGCCCAAGACGTTCAAAACTTCTGATAAGTATTCAAAATTCAGCTTAGTTCGCCTTTATATCAAACACCTATTATGGATCGATTTTTATCATAAAATATTAAAACTTAGACTTGCCTGCCCTAAAAAACAAAAATTTTCGTGCAAATCCTTGTATGAGATAGGACCTAAAAATCGGCATATATCGCACTAATTTTCTAAGGTTAAGCTTTTTCTCTTAAATAACTACTATGGACTAAGTTTCATCATAACATGTTAAAATTTTGCATTTTTCTGCCCTCCAAAGAATTAATTTTCATGAAAATATATATATAGGGTAGGAACCAAAAAATAGGCCGAGATGGTCTCAATTTGGTACAGTTAATTTTTTTTTATCTTAAATTACTAATATGATTTGATTTTTATGATGAAACGTTGAAAAGTAGACCTTTTTGTGTCATATGTCAAACTACAGTTTTCGTTGTATGAGATTATCCCAACCGGTCCACTATTACGTAGCCTGACTTCTCGAGATATGTCGAAAATTGGATTTTTTTCCATATTTCAAAATAGGGCGTGGTCGAAAAAGGGGACGAAACTAAATCATGGGTCAGTGTATAATTAAAAATATCTCAAGAACTGCGACGTGTAGCATGAACACAAATTTATATGGACAGTCCAAAGACGGATAGATGGGCTTACATCGATTTTGAAAATGATTCTGAATCGATCGGTATAATAAAAGGTGGGGTCTATCTTAAACGCTTCTACATGTTAAGTACGACCGTTAGATATCCTCTACCACAGGTGATGTAGGGTACAAAGAAGAAATTAGAGCAAAATTGCTTTCATAAAAATTGCACTCATTCTGATGAGCATTTTTAACACTTAGACTGTGGACGCACTAAGAAAAAAAGATTTGCTACAATTTGAACAACATTTTGCTTTTGCACATATTAGATATGTTTGCATGAATGGGTGTGTTTGTGTGTGCGTGTTTGCATTTGTGATGACTATCCAACCTGTTTTAAAGCGTGATTTCCTGAACGCTAAATCCTTGAAATGCTTTAGCGCATTACAAATAAAAAACTTCACCTTGCCGTAGCATTAGAGATACTTAAGTTAATTTATATGTTTCGTTGCGGTCACTGATTAACCGTTCATCACCGCCACCACCACCACCACCACCGCCACCATCACCATCACTAAGATCACCATTACCATTACTACCACTGGCCAAACTACATTTTAATTTTGATCGTTTTTCGCTTTGCTTTTTATGCGCATACATACGTACGTACATACGAGCGCGCGCGCGCGCGCCCTCGTCTAATATAGGCATACGTCAGTTTATTTGTTGCACTTTACCTGTAAGGTGAATTTATGCACAAATCACGGCACTCATCAATGCTGCCAACATCCTGATAAACGGAATCGACAGTTTTCAATATTCTACCAGATAAACGTTTAAATTCGCACAATTTATTTGGCTCTTCGGCACAGTTGTTTTCCAGATAATCGATGCCATCATGTAGCTGGAATGCACTTGTACCGGCCAATGTAATGCGATCCATTTCAGAGAGTTCACAAATATTTGTGGCACGATAATAGTTGGCCGATCTGTAATGTGAGTTCAAAACATAAAGAAAGCAAAAAAAAAAGAAAAAAAAATCATTATTTTTCTTCTTGTTCTTTTTGTTGTGCTATTATTATTGCACCAACTTCTTGCTATAGATGATTGCTTTTGTGTTTACATTACATTTCTATATATATATATAAATATATATATATATATATATATTTATTTATTTATGCGTACGTGTATGGGTAAATACAACACGAATTTGTGATTGTAGTTGTTGTGCTTGTCTATTTCATTCGTTTGTTTGTGTGTGTATTGGATAAACGACAGTAACGAATACTTGAAATATTTTTGTTAATCATGGATTTTTCATAGTCAAAGTCAAAGTCAAAGTTTCGTTTTAGTCAATACTTTCAACTATTGTTGCGGTTGCCTGCGCTGTTGTTGTTAGATAACGACAACCAGTAGGAGTTGTAATCGATAGGTTGTCTAAAAAGAAATTATTTTTGCTTAAGACTTTTTTTTTACTTCTTTTTTTTTTCTTCTTTGGAATCGATTTTATTGTTGCTGTGCTCCTCTTGTTATATTCAAGTTTAATTTTTTGATCGCCTTTTGTGCCTGGTAGTTGAGTAGAATTGAGAAAGCGAGATAAAGAGATTACAACCGTTTAAATTTGTATCTATTTCTTGTTTTTATATACCCATGTATATATATATATATATAAGTATATGTTGCAGCATTAGGTCAAGTGCTAAAGAAAATAATGTTATTTGTTAAGTTAAGTAATTTGATGATCTAACGATTTCGTTGCATACAAAATAGAGAGAGAGAGAGGGAGAGAGAGAGAGAGAGAAAAGAAAAAGTACAAATGGAATGCATCGTGAATCTTGGGCAGCAGCCAGTGCTTAGGGCTTACCTTTCTTATCACAAATCTATAGACAATTTATGAGCTATGAAATGAAGGAAATTTACGTAGAGAGTTGCTTTTAAATAGAGTGTAAATATATATCAAATTCGTTGAACTGAATTTTTCTTTAAAATAAAATTTTCATGTCAGTCTTTTCTTTTTTTGACAAACAGCAGAGCTTCTGTTGAGCAAAAAATCTGTTAAATTTCTCTTAAAAAGAAATAAACAAATTCAGTTTTGTACTATTATTGAAGAGATTATAGACAAATTCAAATTTTGTCTAACGATATAAACCGCTATTAAAACTCATAGCTTAAAATTTTTAAATTTGAGATTTCAAAGGCATCTTTCGGAGAACAGGACCAAAGCGAGATTCTCACATTTTCTTGGTTTGATTGTTTATATATTGAAAATCCGAGTAAACAAAGGCTTCAAATATAACCTTTCAGATCTTGTACTAAACCGAATAGGAATAACATGTGTCTTGACACTTGAACTTTGAACTTAAATTGTTTGATTGCTTCACATTGCATTTCCAAAATGAAAATGAAATTTTATGTTTTCGTATAGATGGTCTAGATGTATAATAAAATAATATTTTAACTATTCTCAGCAAATCATAAGTGACTGAGAGTCACATCCTGGTATGATTTGTGATAAAATCGTTCTTTATGGTTAAAATTTCATATTTCTCTTTGTTGTCATTTATTCAAATATAATTGCGAAGGAAAATTTTCTCTGAGCTAAGCTAAGAATGCATTCTAACTCTACTCTAGATATTCTATTGGAAACCTGCTATTAGTTCCGAAAGATCGGCCGTTTTCTTCCAAAACGGAGTATGTTAATTAGATATAGCATTACGATCTATTTTCAAATCCGTCATCCTACATCCTACTGATCGATTTTCAAATTATTCATTAAAATTTTTGAACTAACTTTGATCTTGTTTTTATGAAAAATAGACTTATTCCACTTTCAATCAAAGAGATCAGTTATGCAATTTCCCGAACTACGCACGATTATATTCCCAAAATGATGAAAATTTTTAAGAATTTTTTTTTTTTTGGAACTGCTTACAGGTAATAAACTCATAGGACATTACGTTCATTGTCATCGGTAATTTTTTTATTAAAAATGGATTTGCACCACTTTCAAGGAATTATCCCTAAAGTTTTGTAAAGTAATGTATTATTAACTAATAGTCTTATGTACTAATAGTGTACATGAAATTTAAATTTCATAAAGTTTTCATATATGTAAATGACTCTTCTTGAATAAAGTCGATTTTAGAGTTTTCCATTTATGTCCATTTCAGGTTATCTTTTGACTTGATGACAAAGCTTCCGTTTTAACCTTCTCCTAGATCTTGGCGTCTGTAGTAACAGAAAGAATAAGATGAGCATAAGATATAATACTACCGACCATGATTAGCTAGTTAACAAGTTAGCTGTCGCAACCTTTTTGAAAAATATTCAGTTAAATACTGTCACAAACATTAAGTGATGACGAATATACTCATCCAACGCAGATCTTGTTCGTTTTTCGTTGTTCTTTTTATGTAATATAAAGGAATTTAAGCAAACAATATTTAATAGGTAAAGTTTTATAGCGTTACGAGACGTTTGTTTGTTGAGGGTTAAACAGGATTACACTTTTTATTACCCGTCATCGCAGGTGGTGGTCGCAGTAATGATTAGAAAACCATGCATGCGCGGTCAAAAAACCATTACTTACACTGCGTCTAACTTTCTTATAATAATAATTTATACATTTTAATTTGCTCTTTTTGCTTCGTCTCGATCACCAAATATTTCAAATATGTCTTGAAATTAAAAAATATATCGTATTTCATCCTGGATCGGGTGTGTTACACATGGACTTAGGATAGACAGCCTTTATATAATACCAATCGATACGGAATCATTTTCTGAATTGAATTAAGCAAGCATGATCGTCTGTCCGTCGGTCTTGTTTTCTTGTGTTCAATTTAAAGGCCGCAAAGTTTTGAAGTGTTTTGATGAAACTTGGTAGACTGCTTTGGCCCAAAAGTGAACGGATGGCAGCATTTTGCTAGCCACGTTCCATATAACAGTCGTTGTATGAATAGCTGTTGCAAGTGAAGTGGTGTAGGGCATTTAATAGTGGGCGTGTTTCACTATATTGTTTTTGCTTGTTTTTCATTAAAATCGCAATTTAAACGGCGAATGGTGACGAATATATTCGTCATAACCATATTACGATTTCTTTATGACAAGTCAATGGCAGCTAAGTGGTCAACGGTTGCCAATCGCCTATAACAACTCGGACTACTCGCTGTTATAGTAATTGCCTACTTTTGCATGTATGCGAACAATATTTAGAAAGATGGTAAGAAAAATATATTCTGATATATTGCATATATGTATAAAAATTTGCAAAACTCTTCCTGTTTTGATAATTTTTTTCTTTTAAATAAAAATTAATATAAAATATATATATATATATATATATATACATACATATATGGGATATATATATGTGTATACATTTATTTATTTATATTCACTTACTATCAAATTCCGAAAATGCACAGTAAGGCATCTAAACGTAGGCGTTATTTAAACAGTTTTCAAGCCTGAAGTGTAGTTTTTGTAACATAGTTTACTTTGTGTGGTAAAAAGCATTAAAAATTTTTTATTTTTTTATTTTTTTTTTTTTATAAATAAGAAACGTACCCGTGTCGCTTCCTTAATCTAAGCGTCTAAATTCTAGACCGAAAAAACAAACAACCAGGCAAACACATGCCAAAGTTACACAAAAAGTAAACAAGACAATAAGAAAGAAACATTTGGCATGCAACGTCAGTCTTCAACATAAAGCGATAAAATCAATTGCAGGAGAAACAAGACCAAAAAAAAAAAAACAAAAAACAGAAAAAGGAAAAAAAAAAAATAAAATAAAACATTTCTCAAAAAAAAAAAAAAAATAAAAAAATAAAACCAGACCACACACATTTATATATACGGATTTACACAACAAAAATATATAGCAAAAAATATCATAAAATTACGTATAAAACTTAAAGTTCGTTGTGTGTGTGTGTGTGTGTGTGTGTGTTGTGTGTGCACATACACTAAGAAAGCAAAATAATTCTCTTTAAACATTCTATTCTATGAGTGGCTGATATAACGAGCTTGCTTACCTTGCTCTACGTGTGTGTGTATGTGATAAGTTTGGATAGATGTGGTAAAAAATATAGAAAAACTAGTACAGCGAACATTATATAGTTTTCATCAAACAATTTCATCGCCACCAAATAAACGGAATATTTTTCATTGATATGCTTTTGGGTTTTTTTTTCTTTTATGTTTGTTTGTTCTGTTTTTCTTCTAAATTTTCTATTATTTTAATTGACATAAACAAATGTTATAGCCTTTGAAGAAATAAAGATTACACATATATATATATACATGCACACACACACACACACACACACACACACACACACACACACAAACGCAATGATTATGTGAGAGTGCTATTTAAGGCGTTTTATATTGTTGCAGATTATTGCAGATTGTTGCATTAAGATAAGCATTTATGTGATTTGAATAGAAGTAAAGAAGTTTACGCGCTTACCTACTTACATCTATTTGACATATATATGCAAAACATAAAGTCAATCATCAAAGAAAAAAAACATATATATATATATATATGTAAGCAGATCACCATTAAATATTTTAATTCAAGTTTGGAAGTAATATCAATTGCTCTACTGGGAATCATACGATACCGATCACACACACATGGCGGACATATTAGAGTTGCCAACTATTGTTGCATTTACGAGCAAATATCGTAGATCCCCTCAAATTGTACATTTGATTGATATAAATAGAGAGCAACAGATTAAGAAATGTCTGTCCGTCTGTCTGTCTGTCAGTCAGTCAGTTTCTCTATCCATATGTTTGCCTATCTACATGGCTCTCCGTACGTCCTTTTCTCAAACAGAGAATCTCAGAAGTTTATGTACAAATATTTCGCAAATGAAATTCTTTTCTGCTTTGTTAAACGAGGCAATAATTGAAACAGAATGTAAGAAATCGAACAGGCATGTAGACGACGGATCCTTTCACTAAATAAAACTTT